TAATAATAAATAATAATATTAATAATAGATGACTACGCTGTATTCACCGATAGAATTGAATGAACCTCTTCTATCAAAAAAATTAATCTTTATCTCGCATCACAAACAAACACAACAAGGTCTATTTAATAGAAAATGTAAATTATGTTCAATATGGCCATTATCCTATACAATGATCTCACCTCACACATAACACAACAAGGTTAATTGAACAGAAAATGCAAATTATGCTCAACATGCCATTATCTTGTACACATTATATTACTAAAGCAAAATTAGAGAATTAGCCTTCAATTTTGACATTTATCTTCCCCAAAGATCATATTTTTGGTACACCTTTTTATCTAAACAGAATTGTGATTGTTATTATAAGCATGTACTGATTCTCAAATTTAATTTGCATCAATACACTTTCTGACTTCTTGTTAATCAATTATATAAAAGTTACTAGTTGTATTTGTATATCATATGTGTCAAATGTAAAACATACATTAGCACATACTGTCTAGTCGAAGACCGGCCAAATCTCGAATAATTTCTATCAAAATTTGACAAGTTGAGCGCTCGTATTCCCGTTAAATTTTCGATTAGAATCAAACTTCCGGCCAATATTGTTCACAATTAGTCAAATCTGAAAAACTATCGAACTACCATTAGTTTCTCAGATTATAATAAGACTATATATATTTTACACATATTCAGAATTACTCAATTGCTATAGATAGTAAAGATTGTAGTTTTAGACCACTAGCTAAGGGTGTTTCTTATTTTTGTTCAGTAACTTATATGGTTCAAAATTGGTTTAATAACTCTTAAATTTTAGTCCATTTGGTCCAATAACTCTAAAATTTAAGAGTTGTTAGACCAATTTCTGACCAAATAACTGTCGCATTCCGACGTTTGAGATCGAAATTGGACCAAATTGGCTAGTATTTAAGGATTATTGGTCCAATTTCGGACCCCATAAATTACTAGGCAAAAATAGATTACACCATAAGTTAGTGGACCAAAATTGTAATTTTCTCCTATAGATAAACCGTCACAATTAAGGGGGTATATTCATTTGGAATTTCTATAGACTTTTTAAGATTTTATAAAACCCGTCATATTTAATATAGACCTTTTAAGATTTTTAAAAATCTTGGGTTATTTATTTGAAATTTTAAAAAGTCTTACAAAAATCTTGCAGTATTTAACTTATTTAATATTAGAATTTGTTAAGATTTTTTAAGATTTGTTGGATTTCAAAAGAAAAATTCTTATACGAAATATCAGTTCAAATCCCACTTCCAGACTTTAAGATTTCATAAAATTCTTTCAAAATTTGAAAATCTTAAAAAAGTCTCAAAATATCATTCAAAAATATATTATCTTAAACAAATGCACCAATTTAGTTGACTATTCTTGAAATTTTGCCACACTTCGTGTCATCCAAACCTAACTTTCAACATAACCTATTAACAACTCTAAATCTCTCTCTCTCTCTATATATAGTGATGGTAGATATATAATATAGTTCCACATATTCTCATGATCTCACACATCAAATACCAAAAGCTGCATGAACATGAAAATGGCAGCATCTACTAAATTTAGGCTTTTACCTTTGGCCACTTCAATTTTTTTGGCAGTAATCTCTTACTCTACACATAGTTCTACTATACATTTAACCACACAAAAACTATTGAATAAGGTCAACAAAAATGGGCCTTATCTTGGACTGGTGATACCAAATCTGTTTGAGATGAACCCTCTTCTTCAACACCCAAGTTACAAACCATCAAATCTTACTATTGATGTTGCAGGTATCACTAATTTATNNNGGTTTCGTTTTGGTACAATTGGGGAAGAAAAAGTCATACTGGTCATGACGGGATTAGCCATGGTAAATAGATACAGTTTGAATTAATTTGATTTCGGATCAATCTGTATTGATTGATTGACTGACTTGATTATTATTGTTGTTAGTAAATAGAATTAATTTAATTTTATAATGCAAATATGGTTATAATTTCTTAAATATATTTGTGTTTTTCTTAGCTAAATGCAGGTATTACCACACAATTATTGTTGACTTTGTTCAATGTCAAAGGAGTTGTGCACTATGGTATTGCTGGGAATGCAAATCCACAGTTTAATTTGGGTGATGTTACAATTCCCCAATATTGGGCTCATTCAGCTCTTTGGAGTTGGCAGGTAATCATTTAATTCTCAATTTTCCTTTTTTTTCATTTATTTTTCCTTTTAATTGTGGTTAAATTTAGTTTGAGTGTGACATGCTTGTCAAATATTTTATTAATATAAGATAAATTATTACAAGAAAATGATGAAATTCCGATGAATATAATCAAATAGAATTTCAACAGCAATTTTAATTGATAATTTTTAATGCTATTGTTTCCGTTGGAATTTTCCAATATATTCCAACGGAAATTCCAACAAAAATTTTCCTTTGGAATGAATTTTCATTGGAATTTGATGATTGCAATGGTAGATTTTCCAACGGGGGTGGAAATAAAAATTCCAACGAGAATTGCATATTTCAATGGAAATTCTTACGGTAAAAAGTCATTGGAAATATAGTCGTTGGAATAATTAAATTCCATCTGAAATTTCAATGAAAAATACATTCCAACGAAATATTTTCAAGCTATACCATTGGAATATCCGTTGGAATTTCTATTGAAATATATTACCATATGATTTTCCGTTGAAATATAACAATTTTTTTGTAGTGAATCTATATTTCTTGATTTATTTAGATTTATCAAATTATACGTTGACAAAATTTGAACTATTAATTTCGATAATATAGATTATAAATTGAAGAGTAACATATGCTTGACATGTATATTGTCAATAAATCTAATAGTGCATCACATTTCTTAATTTAAATTACTATGGGTTATTTCTTTGCTTTAGATTTGAGTCACGTATGTCTATATCACACAAATCATTTAAACATTTTAACTCGAAAAAATACCTCTGATAATTATATGATATTTTATAATTATTTTCAACTATTGCGAGGTATGAATAATTCAAATACATACTTAGATATTATATTTGTGTAGAGACATGGGAATGGACCAGAAAATGAACTGCCCCTGGAAGCTTTTGGCGACTACACAAGAGAAATCGGATTTCTAAATTTTGCGAGTTATGCCACAAATGTGAGTAAATGCCCAGAAAATGACAATTTATTGAACAATGTTTGGTTCCAACCGGAGGAGATATTCCCTGTGGATGGCACACCGGAAGATAGGCAGCACGCCTTTTGGGTACCCGTTGATGAAAATTATTTTCAACTCTCCCAAAAATTAGAGGTAAGATCATATTTAGGAAATAAATTACTAGCCCTATTTAAAATAATCTCTTAGTATGGTCTATGTACAATAAGTATTGGTTCATACGAATTTTGAACTGCAAAATACCAATTAAAGTGAAAAATACTTGTAAATACCAAAAAAAATTTAAGTTGTTTATATTTTTATATCTAGATTTTTATATAAATGTAAAGTTCTAACGTCAATGTTACTATGCTTGTGTTCTTATTTGATTTCTAAATAGTTTTTCATTGAGTAAAGTGGATTTTATATATAAATTTATACTAAAGGGAAACAAATTTGCATTTTTTTTGTAAATGCAACTTGAATACATGAAAATTCTTATTTTGTGATTTCAAGTGTATCTTACCACATAATCATCAGAAAAACCACACAAGTGTGTGGTTACAATACACTATGCTGCAAGATTTGATATTTTGTGATTTGTAGGTTGCACATTTTTTTTTTTCTAAAAAAGAATACTCTTTAGATTGCAAAAACTAAAAATGCGCACAATATATAGATTGCAATTTTTTTTCTCCAAATTTAATTGATAATTATTAATACCGGTAAAATAATTGGTAAAATCAATTGAATCAGTTTAACTATATACTACTGACTTGCTCATTAATGATTAATGTTGTGGTATTTAAACACTGATTAATATTATAAAAATAATTTTATTTGACTTTTCCTACACAACTAGTAGTAGAATTTAGAGGTTAACTTTCAACAAGTTTGACTCGATTTGAGCAGGGAGTGAAGCTCGAGAGGTGCATAAACTCCACCACGTGCCTAGACCAGCCTCCCAAAGTCGCGCGGGTGGCGCGTGGGGCCAGCTCCAGCATCTACGTGGACAACGCCGCCTTCAGAGACTTCCTCCACCACAAATTCGAAATCACCGCCATCGAGATGGAGAGCGCCGCCGTGGCCCTGGTCTGCCGCCAGCAGCGCGTCCCCTTCATCATCTTCCGGGCGCTCTCCGACCTCGCCGGCGGCGGCTACGCCGAGTCGAACGAGGCCGACGCATTCACGCCGCTGGCGGCGAACAACTCGGTGACGGTGGTGGTGGAGTTCGTCCGGCTATTGGATGCCTCCGCCGACACCTGGAGCGGCTCGGCGTCATGAAACGCTAGGCTTTGTGTCGTTTTGGAAGAGTCGTGGTTCCTCCGTGCGCCGCTGTAACAACGAGGACTTTAAAGTGACGCTTTTAGATATATATATATATAAGTGTCGTTTCAGAGTTTTTCCTTTGTTGTAAATTGTGATTTGTTAGCTTTTTTGTTTCAATTATTAATAAACAAAGGTTCATTTACATTTGACTGTACTTTTTTATTTTTTATTTTTAATAAAAATACCACATTCCAAATTAAATTATACATGAATCATTCACAAATCGGTTGTAAAAAAATATTAAATCAAGAATTCATAAACCTAATGTTAAATAAAATCATAATAAAAAATAAAACTTTATAAATACAGAAAAAAAAAGAATTTATAAGTAAATGTTGAAATTGTTTTATAAATAAAGAGGAATTTGCACGCTACACGTTGACAATAAGAAATTATTACATTATTACCTCCATTATATAATTATTTATAAATTAACAAATTTGTTAACTTTATTTGCATATATACATATAAAGTTGATTTCCTATCTATATGGTAATTCTCTCTCTCTTCTTCACACGGCGGTCTCTCCCTCTTCTTCACAGAAAACCCTCCACCGTCTGCCTTCACAAGCCTAATATTCGTTCCGACTGATTCAATCGACTCCTCCGATCTCCCTTCACACAAGTCCGCCACCTCCTTCAATCCCCCTTCCGCCACCGCATACGCCTCCGCCTTGCGCGGGAGAACATCCACGACGAGGCTCGTCGCCAAGCCTCGTCCCACGGCTTTTCCGCCAAGTACGTCCCCTTAAACGCCGACCCATCCTCCACCGAATCCTACTCGCTCTACCGAGCCATCCCCGCGGTCGTCATCTCCAGGTAGGCAATCAGAAAATCGTTCTCCATGGAGTCGATGAGAGAGAAGAGGAATATCATTTTAATCGACATGTCAACTTTTTTTTTTTTTTTGTGGTATATTTGCGTAACTTTTCTTAAAAAAAAAAAAAAAAGATCGATCGCGCCTCTATCGTTTGTGGCGCGTTGTGGTATATGTACATTATATTATCAGTATATGTAGAGTATATGTTAAATATATACCTTGAAAGATCGATCGCGTGTAGTATATGTACAGTTTATGATTAGTATATGTGCAGTATATGTTAAATATATACCTTGAAAGATCGATCGCACCTCTATCGTTTGTGTTGTGTTATGGTATATGTACAGTATATGATCAGTATATGTGAAATATATATTCGACTGTTTTTTTGTTTCTTGAGGTATATGTAGAGTTTATTATCAGTATATGTACAATATATGTTAAATATATACCTTGAAAGATCGATCGCGCCTCTATCGTTTGTGTTGTGTTATGGTATATGTACAGTATAAGTGAAATATATATTCGACTGTTTTTTTTTTTCTTGAGGTGTATGTTGCGTGAAGTGTTATAGCTGAAAAATCCTATCGACCCCCTTTTGTTGTTTTTTTTTTTCTTTTTTTTTGTAGTATATGTCCCTGAATTGTTATTGCTGAAAAAAAAAGAGGTCAACGCCCTCTGTGTTCGTCTTTTTTTTCTTTCTTTTGGTTGTGTGTGTATTAATGAAAACAGAAAAAAAATCAACGACAATTTCTTCTTCTTTTTTTCTAACTACCCACAAATCATGTCCTATAAATATGGAATGGAAGTGGCCTATCTGTAACAAATTGGATTCTTTCCATCATCAATCTGCAAATCTTGCGCAAAAAAACAGGGGATAGGGTTGAGAGAGAATTGTAACTGACATTAGGTATGAATGCAAATAAATCTTATCAATTAGGCATATACACAATTAAATTAGATTGAGTGGTAAAGCAGCAATTATTTTATAAACGGATAGCATAGGTGAAAATTTCCCATAAATAAAAGGCACACGAATTTGTGAAGGGAAGTCAAAAACTCAAAATGGACGGTTAACGGGCCCAAGAAAATTCCACTAGGCCCAAAATCTTTGGGCTACATAAATAATATTGTCATTTTTTCAATTACATAATATAGTTAAGTTAAAAAAAATAGAAAAATGATAATCAAATATAAGAAATATATAATATTATACTAAACCGGATTTAATGGATAAACTGAAAATATATTGAAGAATAAGCCTACACATGGCCAGGACACGTGGCATGATAATATTTGATAACTCCAACTTGGGCCATAAGGTACACTCCCCCTATAAAAGGGGCTAAGATATCTCATTTTCACACTCTCTCTACATTCATAATTATACTCTTGAGATTTGGAGTGATACTGACTTGAGCGTCAGAAGCCCGACGCCGGGACCCTCCTGACGTTGGGTTTTTGCAGGTCTGATGGCCGTTCGAATTGAAGGAGCTCGGGTGAAATCTTATTCACTTCATATACAATAAAATAAAATATTAAAAAATAATTACTAGCATAGTAATATATACTTTAAGGAGATTTGATAAACAATAATATTAAACTAACACATAAATTACAATTTATTCTCTATTCATTTTAGTACCATACTAAAAAACAACATTTCTTACTTGTCTATATTTAGAACCACACTTCTATATAAACCGTGTAACTAACCTTAAAACTTATGAAATTAAGCTACAACCAACAACCTCATTGCTAGCTTTTGTAATTCATGGTATATGATATAAACTCATACTAAGAAGCTATAACATAAACTTCTAAAATCCAGTTACTTTATAACAACACTATTCTTTCTCCTCCAACCTCTCTCTATCTTCCTTCAATGGCCCATAAGCTCTACTACACAAAACAAAGTAGATCATGTTAGCCATGCTCAACCCAACTAGAACCAAGTAGTAATAGTCATAGTGACCCTTGTTGATATCGCTCGAGATCCAACTCTCTTCCCCGCCCGCACTCGACAAGGCATCCACGCTATTCATCACGAAACTCGCGACCAAACTCGCTAACGACTCCCCAAACCCGTTCAATGTGAGAGCTATGCTCGCCATGCTCCTCGGGAGCTCGAAAAAGTAAAACTCGTTCTGAGCTATCGTGTTTGAGGCCACTGCAAATCCGATGAGGCAGTATTGTGGGACCAACCACAGGGCTGACATGTGAGTCGAGCTACCATCTCGGCTCGCGACTGACTTACGAGTGAATTCCACGACGAATGAGGTTGTCGTGGCCAAGAAGGAGACGAAAACCCCAATTCCCATTCTCCTTTTACTGCTTATTCGCACGGGTTTTTTCTTGATTCCCGATGCCAATGGGAGAAACACACGGTCGTAGACCGCGATCCATAGTATGGCGGCTATAACCGCAAATGTGTTGAATGAGGCTGGCGGTATCGAGAAACTCGAGGTGATCTTTCGATCCATTGAGGCGGCTTGGAGTATGGGGAATGTGGTTTGGCTCATGGTCACCGACATGATAATCCCGGTCGACCATATTGGGATTACTCGAATTAGAGCTTTGAGCTCTTCAACTTGATCCACGTTGCAGAGTCTCCATGGGTTCTTGGCCTTCCCATCGATCGTCAGATCTTCCTCTGGATCCCTAACGACGCACGCCTTATTTAGAAACCTAAAGATCAACAAGAAATTTCACTTGTTAAGATGTCGAATTTAGTATTTTTTTTTTCTTTTTTACCTTTTGATAACATCTCATAGGAAAATCGAATCTTCAGAAGGAAAACTACGATACCTTAAATTCTGGCTTGGGAAAACAAGATCCGACCCATCCCTACAATGCCATGCGCAATCCACACTGTCCGACATTTCATAAGATCGGTTCCTAAACGAGGCCACCACCACCCGGACGAGACCAACGACCAAACTCGGCTCTCCCTTCACTTTCACATAAAGATTCGAACCCAAAAAGAAGATAACCATAGCCACGAACATCAAAGCAACGGGGACCGCAAGGCCGATTCCCCATCCCATGTTGTCTTGAACATAGACAACACAGGTTAAGGCCACGAGGGTCGAGAACGCATAAGCCGCATAGTACCACCCGAAATAGCTCTCCCTTAAGCACAACCTCTTCCGAAAATCTTCTCTTTCGAGCTGATTGGCCCCGAAGGCCAAGCACGATGACCGGATTCCACCGGCCCCAATTGTGATGAGCACGAAAGACAAGCAAAGGTAAATGAGCTGCAAAAATGTTGGGGAAAAGCACGTACCAGACGTGGTTTGGTCGCACGGTGGTGGCTTCGCTAGCGGTAAGACAGCTGTCGACCAAAGGAGAGCCGTGCCCTATGTCGGGAAATGCCATCAGGCCAAAATTAGTTAGGCACAAACTATAGTTAAGAGAAGAAGCACGAGAAAAACGGGCGCACAATTAGTTACGCACAAACTATATTTAAGAGAAGAAACATGAAAGAAAAAGCGGAAAAAATGGGACTTACTATTAGGCAAACGATGGATCCGATTCCGATTGTTCGGAACCTTCCCAAGAAAGAATCGGCGGCTAAGGCCCCAACAAGGGTCATGAAGTTCGTGGCCGATGACCATAAAAACAGCACATTCGACACGAAAGTCATTTCCAAGTGGTACTCATTCATGAGGTACAAAGTCATGTTTGGCGATAGCCCGAAAATCGACATCTTCTCTAGTGCCTCGATGCCTATCGAGACAAACAAATTATCGGCATGACCCAAACAAGCAAAGATAACCAGAGTTTGATCATGAATGATTGAATATAATCATGCCAAAGAATGGAAAACATTGGAACTTAAAAACTGATAAATGATCGTTGAAATGGATTAGAGAGAAAAAATGGAACTTTGCCTGTTAATTCACACAATGATAACCAGAGTTTGATCATGAATGATTGAATATAATCATGCCAAAGAATGGAAAACATTGGAACTTAAAAACTGATCAATGGTCATTGAAATGGATTAGAGAAAAGAAATGGAACTTTGCCTGTTAATTCACACAATGAATTGAAAAAAGCTCACTATTAAGTCCAAAAATTTCTTGAAATTGTGAGAAAAATCTGAACTTTTTTTTCTCAAGGCAATTGACCAAAGTTACATGTGAAGACATTAACAGAGGAACTAGCAAAAGCAGGGTAGAATAACATACATACTCCAAACAAAACTCAACTAAATAAGCTAAGCCAAAATAAACACTAATTTGTAATCTTATGTGGAACAAGAAATTAAACAAATTAAAGGGTACAAAAAGAAAGGGAAAAAAATTACCAATTATGAAAGGCAAAGTCCTAATACCACCCTTCTTCTCATCAGGAACCTCATCATCCTCAGAGAGAGG